TAGGGGTGAAGTTTAAATGACGTTAGAAATGTCAATGACAAAATATCAAACAATCATAATAAGGTTAAAATAGAAAATATATTATAAATTACAATAAAATGTTTTTGACACAAATATATAAAATCAAAGTTCATATCCCTTTGCATTGACACAAATTATAATAGAAAGATGATTAATGACATATCTATTGTTCCAAGAATTAAATTAGACACAATTAATTGCACATGCAAAATCCTTCTTAAAATACAAAAATATAAAAAATCCAAAATTACAAAACACTTTGATAGTATCCAATTTTTTTGCCACAATAATTGTCGTTCATCATGGGTAGGGACACTATTACTGAGATAATCACTTTTATACGAAATGCGAATATGGATCGAAATAGAGTGGTTCGAATATCATCCACCAATATTACTGAAGATATTGTAAGAATGCTTTTACGAGAAGGTTTTATTGAAAACGTGAGAAAGCATCGAGAAAAAAAAAAACAAAAATAATTTTGTTTTAACCCTGCGACATAGAAGGAATAGGAAAAGACCCTATAGAAACATTTTCAATTTAAAACGGATTAGTCGACCCAGTTTACGAATCTATTCTAACTATCAACGAATCCCAAAAATTTTTTGTGGGATGGGAGTTGTAATTCTTTCTACTTCGCGAGGTATAATGATAGACCAAGAGGCTCGACTAGATGGAATCAAGGGAGAAATTTTGTGTTATATATGGTAATATTTTGAATAGAATATAAAAATTGGATCCAAAACTTCTTATTTGTAAAATTTAATTGGAAAAGGAAAAAAACTGGGGGAGTTATTGAATTTCGTTCTACCTCCATTAGTTGATACTTCAAGATCACTTACAATACCTGGGATGAAAGAACAAAAATAAATTCCTAAGGGTTTCATTATGAATCGTTTCAAAATTGTAGTTCCAAGTTTATTTACAGAATGAAGATCTAATTCTAAGTTCTATTTCATAAAACATCCAACGTATAGGTAGGTTTATATGGATACCCCCAATAAGTCAAATTTGAAGTATGTCCTTATGATTCAACCATAGGCCATATAATATATCAACTACGCGATGCCACAAAGATTTGAAGCATTCGTTTTTCAACTTTAACAAACATGCCTTTCATAGAAATAGAATTCGCGACGTAAAATATCAAGAAACATTTTTGAAAAAGGCAGATTTCAAATGAAGGTAAGGAATGAGAAATATGAAAATAAGAGTTACTGTTCGTAAAATTTGTGAGAAATCTCGATTGAAGGATGGTTCAACAATGCAAATTTGGTGTATCTTGATTGAAGAAAGAAAAGTTTGAGTAATGGTGCAAGAAAGTATGAAATGACGCTAATCTTGGGAGAAAACGAGGCTTAAAAGCACAAGGGAAGCACCCGAAGGCACACCGGGGAACGAATGAGAAAAATGATAGTGTTAAGGTCTTTCGGAGGGACTCATACTGACACTCACACCGTGAGTGCCAGCATGAGTCCTTGGCTGACTCTCTGATCAGTCTCAGAATGAGTGTGTTGATTAGATTCTAATTACAAGTTTTGAGTCATGAGTCTCAATGATTAGCATCACTCATGACTCCTTGTCCAGTACATTGCGGTTTGGCGCGAACTTTAGAATATATATAAATTTTAGTAGTTAGTTTTTCGATTTCTGATTTCTTCCTCTAGTCTTCTCTCCACATATCCATCTTAGAACCCTTCAAAACTTGTAATCCATGATCTAGTGGAAGATTTAAAGGAAGATTAACCCTTGCAATTGTAAATTCAATATCAATTTCCAGATTATTTCTTTCAATTTAATCATCAAGTTAAGTTCTCCGTTTTATATTTTTGCATTTATATTACTTGAACTTTTGAATTCCATGTTTATTACTTCAATTGATTCTAGTTTTACATTTCAATTATGAGTAGTTGAATATATCTAGGGATTTGAATTGAACGTCATTGTATGGATGCCAATGTGACTTGAATTGCATACATTATATTTTGTATTGCCTTCATGTTGAAATTGGTTATGAACTTGATGAAATAGAATGTAATCTTTCGTAGTTATGCCAGATTATGCAAGAGATATTTGGAATTGGTGAATCACCTATGATAATAGGGTTACACCATAGTCATATCTTTCATATTTCTTACTTTCCTTTGAGAAAAAGGGAGTTTGAAGGAAATGAGCACACAAAATGTTTGTTGAATTGCCTCATTTAGCCAAGTTGCCATGAGAATGGGACTTCGGATTAGTTGATAGTCTAATTGATCATGTTAGGAATAAAATGTAAATTTTGATGAGCCATATGTATTTTTGAAAAATCAAGTAGTCCCCAATTCTATTTTATTTGAGTCAGTTTAAGTCTACATAGTTTGGTGCACCCATATCATACAACCCATGTACAAGTCTGGAAGATCATAATTTATTTGAAGAAGTTAAGCGGGATTATGGCTTAACACAATTATGATGCGGATAAGTCACCAAGAACCATGCTAGAAGAGTTGGATGATATGTGTATAAACTATGCTAAATGGTCCTAAGTTTGAATCTCAAGTTAAGCATTTTTACCCTACTTGGGAGACTAAGGAGCACCAAGAGGGAGACTAACCCCAAAGAAGGAGACTAGCTAGCTTGGGAGACTAACCTCAAAGAAGGAGACTAGCTAGCTTGGGAGACTAACCAAGTTGGAGACTAAGTAAAAAGTAGACTAACCAAGATGAATGCACAAGTCTCACAAAATTCATGCACCAGATGAAGAAACACACCAAGTATGGTGGACCAAGTACAAAATCGAAACAGAGCATCTGACCATGAACAACTATGAAGTTTTTACAGAAGGTTCCAGTATATTAGTCTACAAGGATCGTGAAGGAGAAAATGAACAGATATATTTTCATCTAAACATCAATCTTTTTACGGTGGAACCGGAGATGCTCGAAGGAGGCTGATTCACGGAGATATTGCTTTATACTCAAGCAAGAATCAGCAGATAAATTATTTGATCAACTTGATATGTCAGAACATTTATGAATGACAAGAAATGTCAAGATTGCCGCGTCGAACTTATTCAAATCTTGGAGGCTACGAAATTCAAGATACGACAACGGGCAAAATATTCAAATCATCTGACAAAAGGCGAAAAGACTTCTACCTAATATTTCAGATCAAGTTGACAATTTTATTTTGATCAACTACATACGAAGATGGACGATCGAGATCGAAAGTTGATCAACGGGCAAATAACTTTCATTGGCTATAAATTGCCCAAGCAGACTTGAAGAACAATACGAATTCTACACTTGAACAACGGCTAAAAATTTAAGATATTCAAGCAAGAGAAAAGCAAGAAATATTCAAATCAGCCAAGAAGCAATATATTGAGCTATATACGATAGAATTCAAGTCTGAGTGAGAGAAATTTTTTATCTCTTTGTAATATTCTCTACTGAGTGTAGAAAGAGGGCGGAGTAACTAGAGAGAGTGAAAAACCCTGGTTGAGTGTAGCTTTTTGCGTAGCACTCGTTGTAAAGGACAGAGTAACAAGGGGAGCTTGTGAAAACCCTGTGAGAGCGTAGCTTTGTGCATAGTTCTCGTTGTGTAGGAGTACAGCTTGGTACGAAGTACTCGGGAAGGCGGAGTAACAAGAGGAGCTTGCGAAAAACCTTGGAGGTGTGTAGCTTTGTGCGAAGCACTCGGAGAAGTGTCCGTGGACACCTATTCACTATTGTATCTGGGTGATCGAAGAATAGTGAATTTCCTCCTTGAAGTGAAAGGAGAAGAGTGGAGTAGGAGAATTACACCATCTCCGAACCACTATAAATCTCTCTCTCTCTATTTACTTACTGCTCATATATTTTGTGCATGCTTATTCTAACTGCGAACTAACCCGATTACGATTTATCGCTTATCTTTATCGATTATAATTTGGACAACATTGCCAAAGATATTTTGTTTAAGGCCGTAGATGACACCATATTCCCAAGGATTCGAAAGTGCACCACATCAAAAGAAATATGGGATACACTTATCGGTATAGGTGAAGGCGATGAACAAGAAAAGGATAACAAACTAACCATTGCCATGAAGAGGTTCGAAGATTTCAAAATGCTACCGAACGAAAGCATCACCGACATGGAAGCTCGATTAATTAAAATCCTTGGAGAAATCACGGATCTGGGAATGACCATTACCCAGAAGGAAATATCGCTCAAAGTGTTACGCGGATTACCTACAAGTGGGGATATGAAGGTGACTGCAATGTGCGACCATAGATATCTAAGGGCATTATCTACGGATAAACTCTTTAGTGATCTTAAGGCGTATGAATTCGAAATGAAGACACGAGTCGAAGAAGAACGTGATGAACGAACATCCGCACTGATGGTCGAACAACCATCCTCATCAAGGTCAGCGGTAAATAATGATTTTTTATCTGACGAACAATTTTCCCTATTTGTTAGGAAATTCAAAAAGTTCATGCGGAAAAACAAAGGGTCACCACAAGGAAATTCTTTTCGAGAAAATAGAAGATCAAGAAGGGAACCAATCGAAGATAACACAAATGTGTGCTACAATTGTAGAAAGCCTGGACATTTTATGGCCGAATGTCCACACCCCAAGGCGAACAAAAATTCGAATACTTCTAACTCTCCACAGGTGGAATACAAATCCAAACAAAAGAAATTCAAAAAGGACAAACGGAAGGCTCTAATAAGCGATCCGCTAGACGCAAGTGAATCCGAAGAATCATCTAGCGACGAGAGTGATTCATGACAAGAAGATACGACGCTACTATGTTTAGTAAGCAAGACATCCGAACATGAGGAATGCTTAATGGCGCGTGAAACTGACGAAGAGGAAGTTTGGTATTTCGATAGCGGATGCTCTCGACATATGACCGGCAATAAAGCTAGTCTAGTTGAGTTCAAAAGTATCGAAGGACCAAAAGTAGTGTTCGGTGGAAACGATCGATATGGAATGACAAAAGAAACAGGCGCAATTATGAAAAATGGTTTACGAATTGATGATGTATCCTATGTCGAAGGATTAAAATTCAACTTGTTTAGTACAAGTCAATTTTGCGACAAAGGATATCTCGTAGAATTTTACAAAGGCAAATGTCAAGTCAAGGACGAATCTATGAATGAAGTCGTACTCGCCGGATCAAGAAAGAAAAATATGTATGTTGTAGATTGGAGTACAACAAAGGATTCTGTATGCTTGATGGCAAACAATTCGAATTAAGCTAGTTGGGAATGGCACAAAAAGCTAAATCATTTGAATTTCAAAACCATCAACAAGCTTGCAAGAAATAAGCTAGTCGAAGGACTACCCAACATTGTGTTCAAAAAGGATCAAATATGTGACGCATGCCAGAAAGGAAAACAAATCAAAACATCATTCAAAGCCAAAACTCAAGAGTCGACATCAAGACCCTTAAGTCTACTGTACATGGATTTATTTGGTCCAGTAGACCCAGTAAGTATAAGTGGTAAGAAATATACTTTGGTTGTTGTTGATGATTTTTCCAGGTACACATGGACAATATTCATCAAGAAAAAGGATGAAGTGTTATCAAAGTTGCCAGAGTTGTTGAAGCTACTGCAAGTCGAAAAAGACATGAATTGCAACAATACGAACCGATCGAGGAACAGAATTTGTGAACAGAGTGATTCAATCATACTGTAACTCACAAGGAATCTTACACCAATTATCTGCCGCACGAACGCCGCAAATAAATGGTGTAGCTGAAAGAAGAAGTCGAACACTCAAGGAAGCCGCACGAGTCATGATAACAGTTGCCGGTCTACCAAAGAGATTTTGGGCAGAAGCAATCAACACGGCGTGCTATACTCAAAATCGCAGTCTAATCCCCAAGTTCTATAACAAAACACCATATGAATTATGGAAAGGGAGAAAACCCTATCTCACCTATTTTCATACATTTGGTTGTAAATATTTTGTACTTGTTAATGGAAAGTCTCAATTAAAGACTTTTGACGAGCGAGCGGATGAAGGAACTTTCTTAGGATATTCGTCTACTAGCAATGTAACACCCCGTGTTACGACCCCTAAACCCAAATTAATTAATTAATTACTCAGCCCAAAAAGGGAGTTAAAATCCATTAATTAGCTAAAAAGGGGTCCACCATAGTCCATGGGCCCTTATCCCTAAAGTCAATCCCTTAGTCCTATAGGAAATAGAATTAGAAAACCCTTACCACTTAGACCCTAATTGGGACTCTTAGATATATAAATAGGGACAAAGGAGGCACCTAGAACTCACACCACAATAACTTTCACCACACAAGAATTCCCATAGGAGAAATCAAGAAAGAAGAAATCTTAATGAATGACCCTTCATAGCCAAGGAAATTAATTAAGGCTAAGAGGTAACCCATGTCTCAACCAAACCTATTTTCCTTGCAATGATCTCCTTCTTTGGCTCCCTCTATATACTTGTGTCTTGACGAATTTCTTTATGATATTTGCGATATAATCTTGATTAATAGATGTAATGATTTTATGAGTGATCTTGATGATCATGATGTTAAAAAGAGGTTCTTGATGTTTATGTGATAATTCTTGATAAATCTTGATGATTCTTGATGATGAAAATAAAATATGATTTTGATGATTTGGGTGGGATTAGAGCCCTAGGTTGGATTGGGAATTTGTATTGAGACGTTCTTGATTTATATTAGGGTGGGGATTCGCATGTTCGGGTGTTGTTTATGTTTAGAAGTCATGTTAGGATGTGTTCAATATGATTCTTGCTTTTGATCCATTAATTGCCTATATGGTGTCGTTAATTGCGTTTAAAAGTGTCTAGGCATGGTTTCGGGTTCCACGAAGGATCCCGGGATGCGTATTTGATAAAAAAGTCAGTGGGGGGGGGGGGGGGGGGGTAGGTGGCGGGTACCCCTACGGGCAGCAGGAAGCCGACGGGCAGCCGTCTGCCTGCCGGGCACCCGCTGCCCGGAAGTTGTCGCCGGCGTGTGGCCCTCCTCCCACCGGCTACCCGCTGGTTTGTCACCAACCCCGGGTCTTTGGCTTCCCCGTTTGATGTCCCCCATTCCCCGTGGTGTCCCAACGGACCCTGTTTTTCGTACTTGAGTCTAGTTTGTTGTTTCGGGTACCGTTCGTAGGATAAAAGAGTCTTAGGAATTGCATGCTAGTTGAATCGGTAACCCGTTGACCTAGGTGGAAGTTGTATGAACCCCTTAGGACTGTTCTTAGTATGTGAACGATCACACGTAAGCTTATTTATGTGCCTCCCCCTTCCCAATGTGCTATTATGTGTTATGTGATGCATGATTCCCCAATTTGGGTGCGACCAAATTGGCTATACGGGCAGTTGGATTGGTTGAGAACCATCCCAACTGTTAACCAGGCTGGTTGCGATCGGTCAGGCATATAAATATTATATAGGGTTGCGGTCCACTGTTTTGTTACTTATGGGCCTCGGGTGCTATGACCCACCGACCTGGACGCGCCAGGCAGTGTGTAGGGCCAATAAGCCCGAGGAAGGCTGTAGTCCACCGACTTGAGTAATCAGGCGGTGTGTAGGGCTACGGCTGGCTGCGATCCACCGAGTGATGGACCAGCGGTGTGTAGGGTCGTAGTCTCCGAGGATTATCGCCCACCGACTGAGTCCCTCAGCAGTGTGTAGGGCCTGATCCGCTATGACCCATTGATTGTGCCCGTCAACGGTGTGTAGGATCGTAAGTCCCCCCTTGTAAAGTGGATCACAGTCGACCGACTTCGCGCGTCAGCGGTGTGTAGGACTGTGATCCGCCGCTGAGTTCGTCAGCGGTCTATAGAATTGGTTGCGATCAACTCCCTTCATGCTGCGGTATGAGGCAGGGTGCTGCGGGGCCGTGTTAGATCTATATGCACTAACCCTCATGTTACGGGCATGCGATTGGTCCTGTGGCGCCACCAAAGTATGGTTGTGTGACACAAATGATGATGAGATGATGATATGATTGATTTGAAAGTGATCTGTGACCTTAGTTGCGTATTCTTTATGATGGTTGTTTCTACTTAACTGTTATCATTGATTATTGTGCTTGCCCCTATTTGCTGAGTCTATTCCTTGTTTTAAAGCAAGAGTCTCTTAAGTCAATATCTTCCTGCTTCAAAATGGTTTTCATATATCTATATATATCTATCTATATTGTATTTCAACGCGTTGGAGTGGGTTACCAGCATCATTCGCTGAACAGATATATTTGGCTTTCAGGCACTGATGAATAGACCCGGAGCGCGCTAGAGATCCGAAGCATAGATTAGTTAGTTTCTCTTTCGGCCTGCGTGCCATGATTATGTATTGACATTTGTATTGAGGATTTTAGTTAGTTAGCCTATGCGTCTGAATTCTCTAGCTCAGATGTGGCATAGCACCCCGCACACTTATGTTGATTTTGGGATTTAATAAGAATTCACCTTTATTATATAAGTTTTAAAAGTTTAAAAATTTCGGGGTGTTACAGTTGGTATCAGAGCCTAAATTGACCCTAGGATAAGACCCTTAAGATCAGATGTTAGCACATTAAGCTTAAACTCTAGGAGCTCAGGAACATAGGATTTAGGAAAAATAGGATGTGACACCCCGAAATCCAAATTCAGTTAAGGGATTAATTGAGTAATTAATCCTATTTCAAATTGTAATTTAATTCCTTAAATTCCTGAAATTTAATAGTTGGGGACTAGTAATTGACTAGTCAACCCCAAAGTCAAAGTTGTAAATTGAGCTTTGTAAGGAGTTCCCTTGTTCCTTACACTTCCTTATGTTAGTAAGGGTGTTCTTGACCTTTCACTTGTTGTTGGTAATGTAACCTAACCTAGTAGACCAATTTCATTCTGTCCTTACACTTTTCTAAAAATCTAGATCCACCCTCTCTTTAAAAGGTGAGTAGCTTTTCTTCCAAGCCAAGTTGGAACCTTGTCAAAACTTCAAGAGTTGCTTCCAAGATTCAACCTTTCTTATATTTGGGCATCTAGGAGGGAAAGATCTAAGTTCATCTTGTGTTTTTGGTTTTATCTAAGGTGTCTTTTCTTAAAGATAGGATCTTTATGATCTTTTGGTATGTTCTTGAAGTGGGTTTGGAAGGTGAGCCTAGTGAGGAGCTTGTTGAGGTGTAAAGTGAAGTCTTTAGTCTACGAGAGGTAACCCATGCTCTACAAAATCTATTTTGCTTATCTATATGTGATTTCTTGGATTCTACATGTGTTTTGCTATGAAATGTGAGTTTTTATGCATTGTCTTGTGAAAATGCATATCTAGAGCTTGTGTTTAGGGTTCATTTGTTCCATTGCTTGGCATTTCCTTTGATTCAAGTCATTTTGTTGTATTTGGTGAGATTTGGCATGTTTTAGACTTGAATTTGAGTTTGGAGAAGAAAATCCGCGAAGTGTTGAATTGTGGTACAGGGGTGTACCCGCGGGCGGAACGGCGGGTAGGGGTCCAACCCGCCACCCACCCGCGGGGTATATTGGCCGGGAAGCTTGTTCCCGCGTGCGGAACCGCGGGTAGAGGCCTACCCGCAGGTACAGTGTTGGTGTTGTTTGGGGATTTGTTCCCCTTGATTCTTTTGACTTGGTATTTGGTCTTTTGACTTGCCGTTGTTCTTTTGTGGAACTATTTGAGTGTCTTCTTGATGTTTCGTATGTCTAGAACTATGTTGTAGGTATCCATGTAGGCTTTTGGTGCCTTGAATTGTGCTAAGTGTTCAACATTGTGATTCGTTGAACCGTGATGAGTCTTCTGTGTTCTTCGGAACTACGTTTGGTTTACCCGTTTGATAAGCATGCTAGTTTGGTGTTTAAATGATAGCATGTGTGTTGTTTGTACCTTCCTATTGGTTGATGATAACTTGTGTTATGCATCGTTGTTGTTTTTGGGTTGTGACCCATTCCTTGATTGAGTATGGTTTCATATCTTCGGTGTGATTCGTTGATTGATTCCTGTTGAGGTGTGATGCGTGTGTGGCTTTACCTGGATTGCACGATTAGTGGTATGGGACACTAGTCACCAAGGTATTGCAGCGGTCCTCGTGGTGGCCGTGACATGATTCTGGAGTTGTGACCTTTTGTGTAAGGTTCACGTGATTCTTGGGTGGCATGTGTTGCCGTGTGTGTGTACGGTACCCTCGTGTACTATGAAATTGGTGGTCTTGTTGGTGGTTTGTTGGTGGGAGACGACGGTCCCAGGTGGGAAAAGGTTGGACTAAGAAGTACAGGGGTCCTGGAGGTAATGGTTGGAAGAAGATACAAGGTTGGGGGTAGCCATAAGGTTGGAACCGGGCATAAGGAAGGCATATCAACTCGTGATGGGTGATGTCACGAGGGCTTGTGTAACCGTTGTTGTGAGTTCTCTTCTTGTGACGTGCAAGGGCATGTGTTGCCATCGTCTTGTCTTTATCCTTTGTGTTGTGGTTATCCGTTGTGGTTTGGGATGTGTTCCCGTATCCTTGTTGAGAGTGTTGACTCTTGTGTTGACTATTGCTCTTGGTTTTGTACTTATATACTTATGTATTCCGATTCCAAAATGGCTTTACAACTTATATCTTATCTATGTATGATATTTCACATGTATTGGTGGGTTGCAGCATTATTCGCTGACCGGGCGTCATCCCATGTTTTATTGTGTTTTTTCAGGTGATGTCTAGGCGAGTGCGCAGTCTAGTGCCTGTTAGCATAGCTTCTCCCGTTTGTTTTATGGCCTGTGTGCCGATCTAGTTGTAGACTTTTGAGACTATGGTTTAGTTGTAAACAATGCAGATATCGCCGTAGCATTCATCCTTGTTGGTGAACGTGGCATAACACCCCGTGACTTGGATTTATGTTTATCCAGTTATCTTTTAGTCTTTCGCTGTGATTGTTGTTAGCTCAGTTATCTGCATGTTTAAGGCTTTTAAATAGCTTGTTTTTAGGGGGTGTACAGTTGGTATCAGAGCCTGGGTTTGAACCTATGAAGGAGTTAAGTCTAGACTTGCTAAGTGGCTAAGTGTGGTTTGAGACCTTTAAGCGACCTTAAGAATCTAAGTGTTAGGCTTAGGACTCTAGGTTGCGCGGTGAATTGAGTGTTGCTTTCTGTTCTTTGCTTGCTTGCTATCTTTTTGTAACCGTGTTGTTGTTGTAGAAGTTTGCGATGCCTCCTCGTCCCCGAGCTCGCACCCCGGAGACCCCAACAAATGAGCAGCTCACTCAGAATCTCCACCAGTTGATGCAGACGCTCAGTGAAGCCTTGTCGAACAACAACCACGCTTTGCCGCCTCCTCAACCTGCTGGGCACCGCGATATAGGTCGCTTGGTGTCAGGACATAGGCCGCCCACCTTCGCGGGTGAAGAAGACCCGGTGGTCTTAGAAGAATGGTTAACGGTGTTCGACAAGATCTTCGCAGTTGTGGGGTGCCCCGAAGAGAGAAGAGTGGAACTGGCAACGTTCTACTTCTGCCAAGAAGCTGATCTGTGGTGGGTCCATGAGGGTCCGGCCTTCCTTGAAGTGCCCGAGTTCGACTGTTCCGCGCTTAAGGATAAGATGCGCGAGAGGTTTTACCCAACGCATATGCGAGCCGCCATGTTTGATGAGTTCCTTCACCTGCAGCAAGGATCTCTGTCTGTGGTCGAGTACCACAAGAAGTTTTTGGAGTTGGCGCGCTTTGCTCGGGTACTTGTGCCTACGGAGCTTGCTAAGGTTGAGAGATTCGTTGTCGGTCTGAATTATGAGGCACGAAAAGCGTTGACAGTGAGTAGGCCAAGTTCCCATAAGGATGCGTATCTGAGCGCTGCGGATCTGTATCGCGTTCAACAGCTTCAGAAAGGATCTTACGAGCTAGCCAGGAAAAGGGTTGAGAGTGGACGTTCTTCTACCTTCAAGAAGCCACGACCGGGTTTTCAAGCCAAGAACGTGTCATCCTGATCTCAAGGACCTAATCGGATGGAGCTAAGGGATCAAGCTAAGTTGTTTCCATGCCGAAGATGTGGGAAGGTGCACGCGGGCCAAGATTTTCATGGCCAAGTGCTTCGGTGTTTCCGATGTGGAGATCGTGGTCACAAGGTCGCGGAGTGTCCCCAGCAAGCCGGTCAGAGAATGTTGCGACCACCCCCGGGAGTCGGAGGAGCCCAGGGAGGTAGTTCGGGTCGTGGAGCAGTTAGAGCTAGGCCACCAGGGAGGGTCATCATGATGGGGTGTTCGCAGGCAGAGTCTGAGGGTTTGGTGGAGGAGGAATTGGCAGGTAATCCTATCCTAGCCTATCCTTGTTTTTCGCGAATATCCTGCTCCTTGTTGTCTTGAAGTGTTACCTTGTGTTTCGTTGTTGTCTATATGAGTTACTTGGCAATCATTGGCATGTTTTCCTTTGGTAATGATTCCTTTGGAGTTAGGTGTAAACTCTTCTTGCCTTTCGTAATGATTCCTTTGGAGTTAGGTGTAAACTCTTCTTGTTAAGTGACTTCTTTAGTTTGGCATTGGTAATTTTGGAGTTAGGTGTAAACTTTTCTTGTTAAGTGACTTCTTTAGTTTGGCATATAAGTTTCATTGTGGAGTTAGCTATCCGTCTTTGGAATGAGTTGTGATTGGGTTAATTCTACAATCCTTATATTTGGTTATTCTTGCAACTATCCTTTTTTAGGAATCCTCTAAATTTGTCCCAAGTATTCTTTGAAAGTTGAAGTCAGCAAATCCATACGAAAAATCCTTCCTTGTGTAGCTTAAGAATCAAGCAAAGTGTTTAATTGTAGCCCTTGAGTTTTGAACCCGAGCCTATTCTTTACCAACCCAACCTCTAAACCACATGAGCTAATTATCTTCCTCAGAACTTACTCAATTTTAATTCCATTTAAACTATAAAAATCCTCACTTTACCCAAATCCCCAAATTAAATCATCTTTTCCCCAATCTTTTCCACAATCCCTAATTTCCCAAATTTCTTCCTTTCTTCTTCTTCCCAACCCGTGAACCACCAAGCGCCCAACCCCCCCCCCCCTCGCCATGCCAGCAACCCGCCACCCCAACGCCGGCGTAGCAGCCAGCCGCCACCGCCTCGCCGTTCGCCGCCGATCGCTACTGTCGTTCGCCGCTGTCGAAGCTGCGTTGCCGAGAGAGAGAGAGAAGCCGAGCGAGAGAGAGAGAGAGCAGCGAGAGAGAGAGGAGAAAAGAGGAGAAGCCTTGGGTCCTTTTGTTGAGCTTTGGGTCATCTTCAATCATGCCTAGAAGGTCAAGCCTGACAAGAAAAGCGGAATGAGTGCATACCCATTACCTCGTCCTTGAAGGTAAAGCTTTTGATCAGGAATCTTTTCATGATTCTTTGTTGGATATGCTTAGATTCCAAGGCTTGTTGGATGGGTTTCTCGCCATAAGGGCCGAGACTTACCCGAGTTTGGTTAAGGAATTTTATCGTCACATGGTTGTGACAAAGGAGGGTGATAAGCTTGAGATCACTTCTAAAGTGAGAGGTGTGAAGGTTGTGTTATCTGAAAAGAGGCTGGCTCAGCTTTTGACTTTTGACTGCTTCTGGAGTTGCTCAGTACAGTGGTCATTCATGGATTAGTACGGATACCATGGGGTACCGGGATTATTTGGGTTATCTATTGGGCTGTACGAGTGGTTTCACTCAAGCTTCAAGGCCAGAGAAAAAGTGGTTGTCCGCGGAGCAACGGATTTTGGTTATGTTGGTATCGGATTGTTTGTTGCCTAATAACAACAAAAACAAGTTGTTGGGAAAGTTGGAGTGCACCTTTGCCTTTTGCCTCAAGAACATGGTTAAGTTCAACTTGCCAGCTTTGATGTTGCAGCATATGGTTTTCTGTCGGGACCATAACCGGAAAAGTCTACCGTACGGGATGGTGTTAAGCTGGGTTTTGGTTAGAAATGGTGTAAGCGTGGATGGTTGTCTTCCGAAGGCCGTGGGAAAGTTGGTGTTGGATGCCACCAATCTTCAGAGTTGCAATTTGTTTCAACTGGAGGATGGTGATTACATCACGCTGGAAGATGTGGCAAGGAAAGCACCGGAGGAAAGGTCCGTGTTGGCAACGGAGATTGGGATTCACGCCGGGAAGTTGAGCCTTGCAGTCCAGAGTTTGGGAGGCGATGAAGAAGTTGAAGATGAGGCCGATCGTGAGGATGAGGTGGAAGCACCGGAAGCGGTTGAGGCCGAGGAAAGTGACTCAGAAAGTGAAGAGAACCAACGAAGAAGAGAAGCCCGCACCAAGAGGGAGCACGACTCCATGACGCATGAGGAGCGTGTGGTCACCTTGCTTCGTCAGTAGAACCGCATGATCGAGGAGGGTTTTGCCTACATGAAGACACAGTTTGTCACAGTTAACCAGAGGCTAGACCCGATTGAAGCTAGTTCAAGCCGCAAAGGAGAAGATGATGAAGAATCTGAGGAGGCCGAGGAGTCGGAGAGTGAGGACTTCTAGCTTGTGTTGTGGTTGTCCGTGTTCGCCTTTGTGCTTGTTTTGCTTGTTTCTTTGTTGTTTGTTTAGCTTGGTAGTTGGTGTTGGTTGTCTATATCTTAGTTGTTGTTTAGAAGTCGGTGTTTGTGTTGAGGCTAGAGTTCTTGATGCTCAATTATTTGTTTGTTTAACTCTTGCCAACCCTTGATTTGAAATGCTTACTTTCTTGCTTTGAAATTCTTGTGAATTCTTTTGGAAACTTTGACCAAAAGAGTGTGTTCTTGAACCTCTTGTCACAATGTTGTTACTTTTCACCGTTTGCTTTAATTCGCCGTACCCAAGCTTCGGGGACGAAGCTTCTTTGAAGGGGGAGAGGATGTGACACCCCGAAATCCAAATTCAATTAAGGGATTAATTGAGTATTTAATCCTATTTCAAATTGTAATTTAATTCCTTAAATTCCTGAAATTTAATAGTTGGGGACTAGAAATTGACTAGTCAACCCCAAAGTCAAAGTTGTACATTGAGCTTTGTAAGGAATTCCCTTGTTCCTTACACTTCCTTATGTTAGTAAGGGTGTTCTTGACCTTTCACTTGTTGTTGGTAATGTAACCTAACCTAGTAGACCAATTTCATTCTGTCCTTACACTTTTCTAAAAATCTAGTTCATCTTGTGTTTTTGGTTTTATCTAAGGTGTCTTTTCTTAAAGATAGGATCTTTATGATCTTTTGGTATGTTCTTGAAGTGGGTTTGGAAGGTGAGCCTAGTGAGGAGCTTGTTGAGGTGTAAAGTGAAGTCTTTAGTCTACGAGAGGTAACCCATGCTCTACAAAATCTATTTTGCTTACCTATATGTGATTTCTTGCTATGAAATGTGAATGTTTATGCATTGTCTTGTGAAAATGCATATCTAGAGCTTGTGTTTAGGGTTCATTTGTGCCATTGCTTGGCATTTCCTTTGATTCAAGTCATTTTGTTGTATTTGGTGAGATTTGGCATGTTTTGGACTTGAATTTGAGTTTGGAGAAGAAAATCCGCGAAGTGTTGAATTGTGGTACAGGGGTGTACCCGTGGGCGGAACGGCGGGTAGGGGTCCAACCCGCGGCCTACCCGCGGGGTACATTGGCCGGGAAGCCTGTACCCGCGGGCGGAACCGCGGGTAGAGGCCTACCCGTGGGTAGGCCCACGGGTAGGCCTCTACCCGCGGTTCCGCCCACGGGTAGGCCAATGTACAGTGTTGGTGTTGTTTGGGGATTTGTTCCCCGTGATTCTTTTGACTTGGTATTTGGTCTTTTGATTTCCCGATGTTCTTTTGTGGAACTATTTGAGTGTCTTCTTGATGTTTCGTATGTCTAGAACTATGTGGTAGGTATCCATGTAGGCTTTTGGTGCCTTGAATTGTGCTAAGTGTTCAACATTGTGATTCGTTGAACGGTGATGAGTCTTCGGTGTTCTTCGGAACTACGTTTGATTTACCCGTTTGATAAGCATGCTAGTTTGGTGTTTAAATGCTAGCATGTGTGTTGTTTGTACCTTCCTATTGGTTGATGATAACTTGTGTTATGCATCGTTGTTGTTGTTGTCCTGTGACCCATTGCTTGATTGAGTATGGTTTCATATCTTCGTTGTGATCCGTTGATTGATTCCTGTTGAGGTGTGATGCATGTGTGGCTTTACCTGGATTGCACGATTAGTGGTATGGGACACTAGTCACCAAGGTATTGCGGCGGTCCTCGTGGTGGCCGTGACGTGAATATGGAGTTGTGACCTATTGTGTAAGGTTCACGTTATTCTTGGGTGACATGTGTTACCGTGTGTGTGTACGGTACCCTCGTGTACTATGAAATTGGTGGTCTTGTTGGTGGTTTGTTGGTGGGGGACGACGGTCCTTGGGAGGGAAAATGTTGGACTAAGAAGTACAGGGGTCCTGGAGGTAATGGTTGGAAGAAGATACAAGGTTGGGGGTAGCCATAAGGTTGGAACCGGACATAAGGATGGCATATCAACTCGTGATGGGTGATGTCACGAGGACTTGTGTAGCCGTTGTTGTGACTTCTCTTCTTGTGACATGTGTAGTCACAAGGGCATGTGTTGCCTAGGCATGTGTTGCCATCGGTCTTGTCTTTATCCTTTGTGGTTTGGGATGTGTTCCCGTATCTTTGTTGAGAGTGTTGAGTCTTGTGTTGACTATTACTCTTTGTTTTGTACTTATATACTTATGTATTCCGTTTCGAAAATGGCTTTACAACTTATATCTTATCTATGTATGTTATTTCACATGTATTGGTGGGTTACCAGCATTATTCGCTGACCGGGCGTCGTCCCATGTTTTATTGTGTTCTTTCAGGTGTTGTTTAGGCGAGTGCGTAGTCTAGTACCTGTTAGCATAGCTTCTCCCGTTTGTTTTATGGCCTGTGTGCCGATCTAGTTGTACTCTTTTGAGACTATGGTTTAGTTGTAAACAATGCAGATATCGGCATAGCGTTCATCCTTGTTGGTGAACGTGGCATAACACCCCGTGACTTGGATTTATGTTTATCCAGTTATCTTTTAGTCTTCCGCTATGTTTGTTGTTAGCTCAGTTATCTGCATGTTTAAGGCTTTTAAACAGCTTGTTTTTAGGGGGTGTTACATAGGACGCGCGGTGAGATTATGAGCCTACCTATCATCACATAACCTCCCCTCACTTTATCCCTCATTAATTTAAGGAACTCCCCTTCGCTTATCACATCCAGGTAAGGGTACAAAACTCTAACTCAACGTTACTATAAAACATTGGCTCTATAGATCAGCATCATGGCACCAACCAGAAGACAATCAAGGACTCCGGAACCCGCTACACATGACCCCCTGGCTCAAACCCTACAGCAACTAACCCAAGTCGCCCAAGCACTAAGCGACGTAGCTCTCTGCAACAACCGACCACCACCACCTCCACCAAACACAAACTCAGAAGTCGCTCGACAAGTTTCAAACCATAGACCACCCACTTTCTCGGGAGAAGAAGATCCCGCCATCCTTGAGGAATGGAATCGGACCTTCGACAAAATTCTGGGGTTGGTAGAATGCCCAGAGGAACGTCGTGTAGAGGTAGCCTCATTCTACTTCGGGCACGAGGCAGACCTTTGGTGGATCTACGAGGGACCCACTTACAGGCAAGAACCAGGATTCAACTGGGAAAACCTGAAAACACGACTGCGAGAACGATTCTACCCAGCCCACGTAAGAGCATCTATGCACGAAGAGTTCCTCCACCTAAAACAGGGAACGACTACCATCATGGAATACAATAAATGATTCCTCGAACTGGCATGCTTCGCGGCAGAACTAGTCCCCACAGAGACGACCAAAATAGAGAGATTTGTATCAGGCCTCAACTTCGAAGCCCGAAAAGCACTAGTAGTAAGCAGACCCCGGACCCTCAACGAGGCCTACTCCAGTGCCGCCAATCTCTATCGAATCCAACTACTATAGCGTGGGGTTCAGGAACAGATTCGAAAGAGAAGAACAGGAGGTGGGGCACCACCTTTGAAAAGAACAAGAAACGACGCTAACACAAGGCCGAGACATCCAGCTGGACAGAGGCCACCCCCAGGAAACAACGAAGCTAATACAGGGAGCTACCCTTGCCTAAAATGCAGCAAAAACCATAGAGGCAAGGACTGCATGGGGAACCCCTTACGATGCTTCAACTGTGGAAAGGAAGGGCACAAGTCCTTCCACTGCACTCTACCCTCGAACTCACGCCCTATGGCCATGGGCTAACGCGAAGGCACGGACAATCAAGGAAATTACGGTGCCCCCGGAAAAGTGTTCATCATGAGCTGCACGCAAGCTGAACTTGAGGACAAGGACAACCTCGATGAAGAAAACATGGTCCCAAGAGACGAAGATCACGCAAACCCGCCAGAATAAAACCAAGAGGATGAGTTCTGTTTAGGATAACTAACAAACCCTTTGTAACCGCCCTCGTAGTAGAATTGCTTGTCTAGATTAATTACTTCGGAATTATTATAAATAAAGAGCTAAATCAAAATAATTTTAGCATAAGGGAAAGTAACTAGACTACCCACATCAACAAGACCAAACCAAATCTTCTACCACTAGAAGACAAAAGAAAGAAAAAGACAAGGATTACACAACAAAAAAAGTTAATATTACCAATAAGAATGGAACCTTGGACCTCTCACTTACAAGACTAGAGCCTTAACCACTAAGTTATGAGTGTTTCTTGAAACCTCAAGGGAACACTCCCTTCTTAAATCCCTACAAATCCCTAAAAATCCCCAAAACCCCCAAATAAAAAACCCTTCTTCTTCTTCTTCATCTTCTTCTACACACACTCTCTCCCTCTCTTCCTCTCCCACTCACCCCGCCGCCACACAACACCACCCCATCACCACAGCAGGCCTCCCCGCCAGCCGCCGTCACCAGTCGAGCCACCGGCGTCCGCCAAGGCAGGGCCCACCGTCGCCGCCCCATAGGTAGCCCGCTGCACCACCGCCGCACGTCGGCCACCCGGACGTCCCCCGCTGCCACACGCCGCCACTACCATACAACCCGAAGCTCCACCTCGGTCCGCCGCCATCGCGCCAAGGCCAAGCCCCGCCAGAAACCGTCGCCGTCAGAGAAGCTGCACCGCCGGAACCCCCGCCGGAATCTCGCCGGAAGTCCGCCGGAAAAAATCACCTAGAAGAAAAATTCCAAAGAAATCTTAAAGAAAGACCCTTCATAGCCAAGGAAATTAATTAAGGCTAAGAGGTAACCCATGTCTCAACAAAACCAATTTTCCTTGTTATGATCTCCTTCTTTGGCTCCCTCTATATACTTGTGTTTTGATGAATTTCTTTATGATATTTGCGATATAATCTTGATTGATTGATGTGATGATTTTATGAGTGATCTTGATGATCTTGATGTTAAAAAGAGGTTCTTGATGTTTATGTGATAATTCTCGATAAATCTTGATGATTCTTGATGATGAAAATAAAAATATGATTTTGATGATTTGGGTGGGATTAGAGCCCTAAGTTGGATTGGGAATTTGTATTGAGACGTTCTTGATTTATATTAGGGTGGGGATTCGCATGTTCGGGTGTTGTTTATGTTTAGAAGTCATGTTAGGATGTGTTCAATATGATTCTTGCTTTTGATCCATTAATTGCCTATATGGTGTCGTTAATTGCGTTTAAAAGTGTCTAGGCATGGTTTCGGGTTCCACGAAGGATCCCGGGATGCCTATTTGATAAAAAAGTCAGTGGGGGGGGGGGGGGTATGTGGCGGGTACCCCTACCCGCCACCTACCCGCTGCCCAAAGAGAGACCGCCAGGCAGCGGGCAGCCGGCGGGTGGCCCTCCACCCACCGGCTACCCGCTGGTTTGTCACCCACCCCGGGTATTTGGCTTGCCTGTTTGATGTTCCCCATTCCCCGTGGTGTCCCAACGGACCCCGTTTGTCGTACTTGAGTCCAGTTTGATGTTTCGGGTACCTTTCGTAGGATAAAAGAGTCTTAGGAATTGCATGCTAGTTGAATCGGTAACCCGTTGACCTAGGTGGAAGTTGTATGAACCCCTTAGGACTGTTCTTAGTATGTGAATGATCACACGTAAGCTTATTTATGTGCCCCCCCGCCCTTCCCAAGGTGCTATTATGTGCCATTATGTGTTATGTGATGCATGATTCCCCAATTTGGGTGCGATCAAATAGGCTATACGGTCAGTTGGATGGGTTGAGAACCATCCCAACTGTTAACCAGGCCGGTTGCGATCGGTCAGGTATATAAATATTATATAGGGCAGCGGTCCACTGTTTGGTTACTTATGAGCTGTAGTCGATTCTCCTGGCTACGGTCAGTGATTCACTTCTTGGGCTGCGGTCCACATGGGCCTCGGGTGCTATGACCCACCGACCTGGACGCGCCAGGCGGTGTGTAAAGCCAATAAGCCCGAGGAAGGCTGTAGTCCACCGACCTGAGTAATCAGGCGGTGTGTAGGGCTACGGCTGGCTGCGATCCACCAAGTGATGGACCAACGGTGTGTAGGGTCGTAGTCTCCGAGGATTATCGCCCACCGACTGAGTCCCTCAACGGTGTGTAGGATCGTAAGTCCCCCCTTGTAAAGTGGATCACAGTCCACCGACTGAGCGCGTCAGCGGTATGTAGGACTGTGATCCGCCGCTGAGTTCGTCAGCGGTCTATAGGGTTGGTTGCGATCAACTCCCTTCATGCTGCGGTATGAGGCAGGGTGCTGCGGGGCCGTGTTAGTGCTATATGCACTAACCCTCATGTTCCGGGCATGCGATTGGTCCCGTGGCGCCACCAAAGTATGGTTGTGTGACACAAATGATGATGAGATGATGGTATGATTGATTTGAAAGTGATCTGTGACCTTAGTTGCATATTCTTTATGATGGTTGTTTCTACTTAACTGTTATCATTGATTATTGTGCTTGCCCCTATTTGCTGAGTCTATTCCTAGTTTTAAAGCTAGCGTCTCTTAAGTGAATATCTTCCTGCTTCAAAATGGTTTTCATATATCTATATATATCTATCTATATTGTATTTCAACGCGTTGGAGTGGGTTACCAGCATCATTCGCTGAACTGATATATTTGGCTTTCAGGCACCGATGAATAGACCCGGAGCGCGCTAGAGATCCGAAGCATAGATCAGTTAGTTTCCCTTTCGGCCTGCGTGCCATGATTATGTATTGACATTTGTATTGAGGATTTTAGTTAGTTAGCCTGTGCATCTGAGTTCTCCAGCTCAGATGTGGCATAGCACCCCGCACACTTATGTTGATTTTGGTATTTAATAAGAATTCACCATTATTATATAAGTTTTAAAAGTTTAAAAATTTCGGGGTGTTACAAGCAAGGCGTATAGAATTTTCAACAAATCATCCATGGTGGTAGAAGAATCCATTCACGTTGTGTTCGACGAAAATCACGACAAAATTGGCAAAAATAATGGAGGTAATCGTCATTAAATAATTCTAATGATTCTTTTGAAGATAATGTGTTGCAGGAGGTAGAAGAATCAAGTGATGTGGGTACTCACAAAATTGAAACAATACCCAATGTGACACCCGAAATATCACTCACACCTACAACCGAAATTGCACCCGGAACTCCAACGACAGAAATCCCAGTAGATGAACCCGAAGAAGCACCCGTCAACAATTCACAACAAGAGACAACTCAACAAGTGGTATTTCAACAAGAAGGAAACTCTGAGAATCCAATGATTTTTCAACCAAATCGAAAATGGCTAAGAAGTCACCCACATGACTTAGTCATTGGAAATCTGAGAGACGGAGTAAGAACACGATCATCTACAAGGGACGAACAAGTGACAAGGGATGCAATGTTTTCATGTTTTCTATCACAACTGGAGCCAAAAGAAATTAACGAAGCATTAGCCGATCCAAGTTGGATAGATGCCATGCAAGAGGAATTAGATCAATTCAAACGCAACGACGTATGGAAACTTGTTCCAAGACCAACGCACCAAAATGTAATTGGGACTAAATGGGTCTTTAGGAACAAAGCATAGGAAGACGACATCATTGTTAGGAATAAAGCAAGATTAGTTGCGAAGGGGTATTCACAAGAAGAATGCATTGATTTTGATGAGACATTCACCCCCGTCGCACGACTCGAAGCAATCCGGATATTCCTAGCATATGCAGCGCACCAGAATTTCATTGTAAATAGCGCATTTCTTAATGGCTTACTTGAAGAAGAAGTTTACGTCGAACAACCACCCGGTTTTGAGGTAAAAGACGTTGGTGATCAAGTCTACAAATTAAAGAAGGCATTGTATTTGTTAAAACAAGCTCCGCGAGCTTGGTATGACACCTTGTCGATGTTCTTAATTAGTTGTGGATTCACCAAAGGTCTAGTCGATAAAACCCTCTTTAGAAATCAAGAAAACAATCACATTTTATTAGTACAAATTTATTTTGATGATATCATTTTTGGAAGTACTGATAAATCTTTATGTGAGAAATTTTCTAAGCTCATGCAGAACAGGTTCAAAATGAATATGATGGGAGAATTAAATTACTTTTTGGGACTGCAAGTTAAGCA